GGAGGGAATCTCTCATTGACAAACTTCTCGACGAAGAAATCAAGTGTGATGTGCCCCTTAGCTACACAGCGTTCAATAACTTCCTAGGAGGCCTACAGATGGCAGCTGCCGATACCACAGCCACAGCGACCTTGACGAATATTATGCTCCTGGCGAAGCACCCTGAGGCTCAGGAGAAAGCAAGAGTCGAACTCGACAGAGTCTGTGGCACAAAAAGATTTCCCAACTGGTCTGACTTCAAGAGCTTGCCGTACATTAATTGCATTGTGAAAGAAGGGTTACGAGCGAAACCAGTGTGAGTATTCTGATCAGTGATCAACCCGTTCCGAGTTCGAGCATGATGCTGATGTAGGCAATGCACCTAGAATACCTACCGGTGTACCTCATGCCTCCAAGCAAGACCGATGGTACGGTGACATGTTCATCCCAGCTGGCTCCTCCATCTTCATTCCAGCATACGCACTCAACCACAATAGCGACTTGTCGCCGGACCCTTTCACCTACAACCCAGACCGCTACATCCCTGTCGCCGACAAACTCGCGCCTGAACTTGCCGCTTCACCCAAGTACGAAGAGCGTGATCACTACTCGTACGGTGCAGGGCGACGAATGTGCGTCGGGCTGCATCTCGCTGAGCGGTCTCAATGGCGCATGGTAGCACAAATCCTCTGGGCATTCAAGATAGAGCCAGCAATTGGGCCCGATGGGAAGGAGGTCGAACTAGATTCGAGCCCTGAAGGGTACATTGAGGGGTTTTTGCACACCCCTAAGAAATACAAGGTGAAGTTTGTCCCGAGAAGCGAGAAGCATGTCGAGGTCATCCGGCAAAGTTTTGACGAGGCTGTGGAGTTTTTGAAGCAATGGGAGTAACTACCTGAGGCTTTGACATTTATAGATTTGTAGTGTGGCTGGATATCTTCGGCATCATGCACATGCAGAGACTTGGTCTGAGGATCGAACGAGGCTTGGTAAGTATGGTTGAAGCTTGTGTACTTAGGAACAATTTCTATCCTGAATGTGACTTTCTGTATCTCTTTCGTCGCTTGGAGGCTTCTGCCGCTTGCCATTTTGCGCAATTTGAGTAGATGATCTCGCGGCTATATCAATTACCCTTCGGCTCACGTCCGATGGGAATAGGTCTTTCCAAGTGCCTCAGCCATTTCGGCCGCGTTCTTTTGAGCGGTGTCTCTGAGGTTAGTTGTAAGTCTTCGATGGCACTGGCCCATCGCACGAGTTCTTCTTCTCCAAACTCAGTCTGCATGATTCCCAACCCAAAGGGCATGCCCGTGTCTGAATATACTCCTGCTGGGATCGTGATCATCGGGTATCCAGCCTGCGCAGCTATCTGATATGTTTGGGCTACTGAGATAGGCACGAGCAAGCCTGAAAGCGGGTTTCCAGTGTGGTTCAGTGCACCGTCGATGCCGACACGCGTGGTGGTCTGCATGTAGTTGAGAGCTTTCCAGTAAGTATCGTTCCGAATTCCTTGAGTGGCATTAGACATCAGGAATCCATCTTGCCCAGAGCGAAAAGCTGGTAAGCCGTGAAACACTTTGTAACTTCCAGACATTGTGTAGTTCCCATCAAAAGGATACCCTCCTTCGATTCCGTCGTTTTCGTAATTGAACTTGATTATATCCTCAAGCGATCGCATCTTCGTGTTCTGGAGTCCAGAGAGGTATTTCTTGATGTTGCGATAGAAGTCTACCAGGACAACTGTATACTCTGACTTTTCGGGGTGGCCGATCTTGCCTTGCCAATTCCAGTCCCAGCCTGTTTTATTCACGACATTCCCGTGATCAGTAATTTCAGTGAAGTTGACAATGGTACCGCCATTCTTCTGGATGAGAGTTATCAAGCTGCCAAGCTGTGCTTTGGTTTCTTCATTCGCAATAGCCCAAAAGCTGTTCCACGGAATGCCGAATGTTGCGTTGTGTAGGCTAGTTTTGTTAGTCAGATATTGAGCGTAGCCTCCCGGTGGAGGTGTCTTTCCGCTCTGGGCTTCGGTGTAATTGTCTCTTGGGTCGATCCCGTAGATAGCATCGAGGGCGTACACTGCATCGCGGACAGTTCGGCCGAAGGTGCCAACTGTGTCTTGGTGCTCGCACTCTGGTATGACTCTACATTCCACAGGTCAATAAAGGCTTATCTGCGCGGGGTATCAGTCATCTAGTGATGATTTATCAACGTACCCGTCTCTTGAGGTCAGTCCGACAGTCGGCTTGATGCCTACTATGCCATTTTTATGAGCAGGGCTGATTACTGATGCCGAGTTAGTGACAAATGCGCATGATCAATGAAACAATGCCATGGTCTTACCACTGCCGTCCGTTTCCGTGCCGAGAGAAAAGGCGATCGCATTGGCAGCAACTCCTACTGCACTGCCGGAGCTACTTCCCATGGGATTGAAGACCAAGTTGTAGGGGCTTCGTGGCTGTCCACCCCGTGGGGAGTACCCTTCTGAATATCCGGTGCTCCGCATGTCTGCCCATTCGCTCATTGTGGATTTCCCAAATAGTACGGCTCCCGCTGCTCTCAAACGAGCGACAACGAAGGCATCGCGAGGGACAATGCTTCCCAATAGTGCATAGCTCCCAGCAGTTGTTTCCATACTGTCTTGTGTCGCAATGTTGTCTTTGACAGTGAACGGGATTCCATGGAGCGGACCGAGAACTTGGCCTGCTTTTCGTTGTTCGTCCCTTTTGGCTGCAATCGTCATGACGTCCGGATTCAATTGCATTACGGAACTATTTCAATGGAACTATTAGTTAGCAAATATGAGCTGGATATACAGCGTAGGAACGCTAACCTGATGTACTCTTGAGTCTGAAAAGTGCGTTGCATGTAGCACATGACCAGCTGTTGAGACGTCAAAATGCCATCCTCCATGGCCTTCTGCATCTGGTCGATGGTCGCTTCTTCTAACTTGAAGGTTCCAGCGCAAACGGGCATGGGGAAGAGTTCTGTAGTATTTTCATTCTGCAGCAGTGGGAACAAAGGAGTCACCAAGCTGGTGCTGGCCACAAGTTGGCCGATGGACGGAGACACAAAGTATGCTAGCATCAGCAAGGGTCCGGATTGATGCCACGCTGGGACTATGGACGGTGGTGCAGTTAAACGCATAGTTGCTCAGCGTAAGCTATCAGGATAGAAGATGATTAAAATGAAGTAAGGAAAGAGGGCCTAGTGCGAGAAGTCATCAATGGTTATCGTGTACGGAATCGGTGTATTATATAGGTAGCCAGCGTGAAAGCCGGACCTCGAACTGCCACAGGACTCAGAATTTTCTAGAACGACTTGAAGGTCTTAGGCTTATACCATGCATTTCGCCGGATCTTGATGGTAATTGCAATTCTCGCCAGAGGTCCAAATCATCATTTCGGCGCTTCTGTTTTCGGATCCATCACCTTGTGGCTTTGCCTCCTTATTGGAGAGTTTGCGATACGCCGATATCCCACTTTTCTTACAGCTTGTTTCCTTCAGCAAACTGCGGTCTTTGAGACATGTGCATGTGGCTAGTGCTCGCTCAATAGTGTCAGGCGATTCACGCGTTAGCTGCATTCGAAAAACCCTTGCGTGGCTGGCTGAATGATTAGGCCAATCTTGCTAGTCCACGGCTGTCTCACGCAGTGGTTGTCTGCGGCCTAATTTGTATTGTGTGTTACATACAACGCATTGAATGCATCCGTTGAACCTTGAGACCACCTCTTGTCCTTGAAAACCGAAGCGAGTGAATTCCGAACGACCTCTTTCTGTGGTGAATCAATGTCTGCATGCTAAACAATTTGTCAAACCTCATACACCGTGAATTGATGGAAAAGTCTTCTGAGGCCAGGCGTAGGGCTTCTCCTAAATTAATTGTAGTGCCGATCTCATGAAAGTGGTATTCCCAATACTTCCATGGCATTTGAACTTCAGTAAAGTCGCTCAATTCAGGAGAATTTAGGCTCAGATTCAGATGTGCCGAAAGGGATTCAGGCACCAAGATGTTGAAGTCCTTACGCACCCATGCATGCATGACTTGTACCGTCTGTATTGTGATTATGGCCAACCAATTCTCATTTGTTGGACGCAAACCCATATTGCAACTTCCGACTTCTTTAAATATTTGATCTGGAAGTTGCGTTAATTGGCGCTCGAGTCTGCATCACAGCTGCGATCCTCCATCTCTTTATAGCCTCCCGTAGGCTCGTCCAAATCAAAGCCATCCAAAAGATCAGATAAGAACTTTTAGTTCACTATCAGATAAGTTACCAAAAACCTGTCCTAAATCACTCTCTGTATTATCAACATGTAGAGAAGCACCTCACTCTTATACAGGGTGTATAGCAACCAAAATGCGCCGAGAGATCAACCAAGGAGAGCAATGAATGTGCCAATGGACATACCAGTCGGAGGAAGAGTTGATGTTGATGGAATACATTGAGCAGCTGGATATCCGGTGTATGCCTCACCTGATTGCCTAGTAGAATAAGCTGTGCTGGGGTGACTGAAATCATTCCCTAAAATCACTAAAAGGTGGTTGACAGACACATTGAACTTCCCGTGGCATCCCAACTTTGCAGATCAATTACCGAATACTATCAATGACCAGCCGTTGATGGGACGTTGCACCACGAGTATCCTTGTCGTCAGCGACTCTAGTCTGAACTTAGCACACCAAATTAGCGGTCAATCGACCTCTCAGAGTCGGGAAACCGGACGATCCGCTTTATGCGCTCCATCAAGATTACGACCGAAGCCGCGAGTCTTCACCTTACAGGTCCGTGATGCCCCCGTCGGGTGCCACACCATGTTCTATGGGGCCCCGCAGCGGGTTCTAGACTGAGACTGACCGTTGAAGGACAGCGTCGCTTTCTTCTTTTTCTTCTGATCGTCCTTCATTTCTCCACGAGGCGTTACCGAGTACCCGGATCACCTTACACTCCCTGATCGTTAAAAGTCTCTTGCTCAATCGATTCAGTCCTTGAGACTCTCGCATCACCTCCAACGAAACAAAAATGGCGGAACCGACTCCAACTCCTGCCGCTTCGACTCCGGCTAGCCCCCAAATTGAAGCCGTCGCTGAGCCCGAGCCCGAGCCCGAGCCCGAGCGGCCCGCTCCCGAAGTGGAGGTAGAAGTCGATCGGGAAGAAAATGACTCGTCTTGGGGCGATGATGAAGCTTCTCGCGCCAGCACCTCTCTCAAGTCAGTCACGTCAACATACGAATGGAAGCATGGTCGCCGGTACCATGGCTATCAATCCGGTTCCTACAATTTCCCCAATGACGAGGAGGAACAGGACCGGCTTGATATGATTCATCATGTCTTCTTCAGATTGATGAATGATCGCCTGTACCTTGCGCCCATCAAAACAGAGGGGCTGAAGGTTCTTGATATCGGCACCGGCACGGGTATCTGGCCTATTCAGTTTGGTGACGAGCACCCCGAGGCCGAAGTGATTGTCGGGAACGACCTCAGCCCCATCCAGCCACAATGGGTGCCGCCGAATGTCAAGTTCATCATCGACGACGTTGAGCTAGACTGGGCGGAGCCCGAGCAATACGACTACATCCACTGTCGTTACATGGCAGGTTCCATCAAGGACTGGCCTCGGCTGGTGAACCAAATCTACGAGAACCTGAAACCTGGCGGCTGGGTCGAATTCCAGGAATCTGCAAACACTCTGTACTCCGAAGATGGCTCACTTAAGCCTGACAATGCCATGGTACAGATGATGGACGGACTCATGGAGGCCTGTGAGAAGATTGGGAGAACAATGGACCCAGCACCATCCTTTAAGCGCTGGACTGAAGAGGCTGGTTTCCAGAAGGTGGGCGAGCAAAGATTCAAGCTGCCCATCGGCAGCTGGCCGAGAGACGCCAGATTGAAGGAGGTCGGCACGCTTATGGGAGTTAATTTCCTGGAAGGGGTAGAGGCATTTACTGCCGCGCTGTTCAAGGACGTTTTGGGATGGTCTCCAGAGGAGGTCACTGTCCTCAATGCTGGGGTTCGAGCGGCGGTAAGAAAGAGAGACGTTCACCCCATCTTCGACTTCATTGTCGTCACTGGCCAGAAGCCTTTATAAGTTTTAAGGCCAGAATCAACAATCTTGAGTGAGTTGGGTGGCCTCTCTTGCGGCATTAGCAGCGCTGGGTGGACTATCTCAAATTATCATAGCAAAGCGCGTAATTCAAGAGTCCTGCTTCCGTGGTGTTGCTTCCATAACATCTTCGACATGATCCGAAGCTTCCTCGTAAGCATCCACGTGAGCCTTTGAAAATTCTCTAGCCGGGATCCCTCTTGCAAAGAGCATGTCCAACTCCTCGTACGTACGACCTTTACACTCAGGTAGCCGGAAATATGACCAAATGAAGATGATCCCGGCGGTTCCCGCCCAGAAGAAGCCGGCCTTGCCTCTCAGATTCCACTCTGTAGGGTTCCTTCACATCGTCAATAAGCATCTGTTTTCGCGATTAATATCCGTTTCAGCGAGGTGGTACTCACATCATGTAAGTCTGTAGGACTTGTGAGACAATATTGACAAGCTGGTAGGCATTTCGCGATAGTACGACTGTGAGTGGACGAAGCCGAACCGAAGACGTCTCGCTGATGACGCTATACTGTTGCCTTTGTTAGGATCCCTCTTCCTACGTGCCGGGTTGACAGGGAGACTAAAGAGACTTGGGTCTCAGTGACGTACAGTAATAGGTCCAATGGTGAGAGACTGTAGTCGTCAGCTTCGCCCTTTTGATTTTGGTATTTCTGATGTAACAGGGAGTCCCACTCACGTAAATAAAAAGCCAGAAGACACAAAGACCGCCAGATGGCCAAAGACCCTTCTCACCAACGGACACGTCAAGAATGCCTATAATGAACAGGATAACAGTGAGGGCTCCAATCCCAGTAACATAAATCGCACGTCGTCCCCAATGAGTGATGAGCCACCATGATCTCAACATACAGAGTTAGCTCGAACTCAATTATCGGACTTTTTGACACCGGGATTCTTACAGGACGGTCCCAAGGAAAGCCATCCCCTTTGCTCCCAGACTCAGTTCGAACGCATTCGCAGTCTTCATTCCCGCAGTAGTGAAGAAGTACGTCGGAGTGTAAGCGAAGCTGCTGCCAGACATGACTTGGCCTGCAAACGCAACACAGCATATTTCAGTGCGTCGACGATCAATGCCTTTGAAGCAATCAAGATATGTCACACCGCTTGTCACGCCAGATTCGACCTTGGTTGTGTGAACCATCATTGCTAGCTGGGCATTGATTTGGTCTTGAGTCTTGTCGCCACTGAGCCGCTCGATGGACCGTCTAGCATCGTCGAGGCGATCTTTTCGGACTAGATACCACGGACTCTCAGGTGCCAGATATGAAACAACCATCAGAGGGGCAGGCCAGAGCTTGTGACGAGGTTTCTATTAGGTGGTGCGACTCGACAACTAGTACCAGGTAGACTCTTAGGGCAAACTCACCCATTGAATAGCGAAAGGGATCCGGTAAGCCATCTCGCCTTCAATGCTTAGACAACCGCGGAGGACACCAGCAGCAATAAGCTGACCTGTTGCCCAGCAAAGATTTACCTGACTCGGGTTAGTCGTGAAACTTGATGGCAGCCCATAGATACAACGCACATATGTAGTCATGTAACCGCGAAGGTTCGTGGGACAGACTTCAGAAGCTATGGCATGGCCAGTCAGTAGTTTAGAAGGTTTCAGATATAAGTGATGAGGATTACCATAAGCTGGACTCAGCGTTGCAAAAACACCCCAGGAAAGGCCGCAAAGAATTTGCCCGACTAGAAGCATGGCGGCAGAGTGCGCAAAGAATACCACAAAGATGAAGCAGTTCAAGAATAACATGGCGCCGATCATGACCCATCGATAGCCATATTTGGATGCGAAGTATCCATTCATCAACCCGCCTGGCCGGTGTCAGTCTCCAGTTGGGGGGTTGGCCAACAGATCGGAAGCACGAACCAAAGATGGCACCGACCGTGGACGCCATAGTTAGACCTGTTTGCCACGGTCCAGAGACCTGATAGCCAATTTCCTCGCCATACCAACTGCCATATTTCTTTTGGAACTCTGGATAGGCAAAGAAGTTGTTGATTAGGATGACGTCGTATCTGAAAGCAATCAACGTTGAGCAAGTATCTCGGCCGAAGACCCAAAACAGAAATTACTCACCCTTCCATCACAATGGACATGGATATCATAACAGACCAAAACACCGCCTTACGGTTCTCGCTGAGTGCCTGCCGAAGGGTCTGCGCATGTTCATCGTCTGAAGCTTGCTTGGCTTCGTGAATGGCCGACTGACCAAGCTTTTCTTCGACTTCATTTTCAGCTGCCTTACGTAGATGGCGCACCTCAGATTCGCCTTTTAAGGCCATTATGACTGAGCAATTCTTCCAGACCTATACAAGGGATTAAATGAGAGATAATGCTAAGAGTTGCACAATGACCGTTTGGGACGGACGGTTCCGGATCCGTGAGGGTCACTGACTGATCTATATAAAGACACGGCGGACAAAAGGTATAGGATTTCTTTAAAAAGCCGGCATGATGTAGCATTCGAAACATCACATCGGAAGGTCTCGGTATCTGGAGAGGTACATCTGTTCTGGCTGACATATACGGTAAATGGCTTCTCAAGGCGTGTCAATATCAAGAAACCTTGGCTCTTCATCCCCACATGATCGAGTCACCCCGCCACCCCAGACTGGAGTTGCAAAAGTCTGGGGTTGACAACATGGCCTATAGTTGGATGGCATTATAAAACCCCGTACGTGAAATGCAAAAAGCGTTGCTGATGGGCAAGAACAACCAGGGTTCTCAGGGGTCTTCCTAGGCCCATTCTGGAAAAAGTGAGAAACAGCCGGCAGTAATGTCTCACAAGCTGGCGGTAGGATTGAGACTCTACTTTTGTTCAGAAAGAGGGGAAGTGCGCCAAGAGCAATTGGCAGCTGTGGGGAAAGCGGCATTGGCGAGTCACGGTTGGTTGGGTGATTTTGGATGTGGGAATGGCGGAGGATCTCCGCATGTTGGGTAAAGCTTCCAGGAAGATGTTGGGTATGTCAAACTTCGGACATTGGGATAAGAAATAAGCGTTGCGCGAACAAGACATTCAACACGGAAAAGGGCACTGGACGCTTCATGAACCGGATAAGCTCAGAAGCAGACACCAAGTTGCTTGTGAACCGAGCCCGTCCGTTGGCCCGGGCTCATGCGAACACAGATGAGCCGAGTCTATCTTGTCATATGACGCTCCTCCGATGTGGCTTGATGTGAGATAAGAGACTGCATGTATGATGTATTAAAGACTGTCTTTACAGGGTACTAGCTTTGCCTCGTTGCCGCTGCTTCATGCCTTCGGTAAAGATATTCTTGGGGAAGACTTCTTTCGAATCTTTCTAATAAGTCGCCATGCCCTTGCAGCAACGCCTTTACTGTCTCGTGGGTCTCAAAGAGCACCGCCTCAGAGTTTCCGGTTGGGTTCTGTGTTGAAGTGTAGAAGTTACTCAGGGCCTTGATGAAGGCCGCATAAACCTCCGGCTGAGTTGCCTCGAAGCGTCGCTGAAATGTCGGTCAGAAAAACCAATACCGTTCACATTACTGGCTTGAATGGCCACTACAAGGCGATGACTAACCTTCACATCGTCCAGAAAGCTCCAGCTTTCTTGGTACCCAGTGGACCCCGCCTGGTCCTGCGGGGTGATGATTTCCGGAGGTTCTGACATGGAGTGCATTCTGAAGAGTTTCGTTTACTCTTTGTCAATCAAACAATGTCCAAAGTTTGATCTTTCTTTCTAGAGGAGGATTCATTAAGAGCGTTTTTGAGGGGTTCGTTGGGACTTCCCCGACTTTATGTGAGGAACTCCGCTTTCCAAAGATCCTTCAGCCCCGACCCGGAAATAAAAGTCATGGCATCGGCCAATATGCGTGGTTCAAGATCGTGGCGACCAACAAGTTTCTTCACATAGAGCATTTCATGCCAAAAAATGATGTAATCACTTGTGTGTAACGCGTTGGGGCAAGCTACGCAGGCCAGGGGCACAGCAAAGCGAGGTCCACCTCGGTAGTTCTCGATTGAGGGGAACTTACTGAATAGACGGGGTTCAGGATAATGGGAACCGAAATGAATATTTGAGGTCTTTGAACTACGATGTACTGACATAATGCTGCACACGTTTCAAGTCATATCTAGACAAGCAAAAAGACTTCCTCCTCGCCGAACCGAGCTCTGATCGTATCGTCAGCAGCCTCGGGCATGAGCGGATCGATGAAACAGTCGCCCAGTAGCCACCACCCGTTGTTAACTTCTCTAAGAACGAACGGGATCGGGCCACCGTACAACATCACAACCACATCTCCTTCTCTTGCGCAGGCTGGTGCTAGTCCATAGAACCCCTTTGCTGTCTCAAAGACACATCGCTGGTCGCAAGCGCGGGACGCTGCGACTCTGAATCGCGAGGCGTTCCCGTCACTCAATGCGATATTGAGAGGCTCGAAAGTTGAAGACTCTAGGCCAGAAACCTCAAGTAAGTTGTGTACGTATGTCAGGTAGTCTGCATGAAACTGCTCACGGTCGTCAGATGATTCGAGCTCTTCCACACGCTCATACCCAACAGTAACCCCAGCAGTCAGAGTGAGAGCCATCATCAACACGGCCATCAGCGAGTCTTCAGATTGAGATTCTGGATACGACATGTTTGAAGACGCACGATGCCATAGATCTAGCATCGGATGAGGTGACACCGCAGAGCCTGTGGATCTTTCCTTGAAGTCTTGAACGTCCAGAGCGCGGGTTATCCAAGCAATGGTGTCGAATCTGACACCAGCTACGGCTAACTTGCCATCTGATGATGGGTTAAAATCTGTCAGTTCCGGAAGACCATGCTTGTCGCCCTCTTTCCAGGCTGTCAGGGATCGACTATCGAGAATAGATGACACGTCGCCACTCACATCCCATCTTGGTACCCATGAAGGAACATCGGTTTGTTTGTACTCGACTCCATGTTGGACATAGCACAAAGAAGCCAGTGTTTTACTGTCTGTGACAGCAGTAATGACAACGTCGGCGTAAACCTCTGCCACACATTTTCGGTAGTCAACACTCGGGAAAAGCTCGAGGTCTTTTGGGCGCATGAGCCCCAACAGCCCATAGACCTTGTCCCTCAAGTTTGTGGCATGGTGATCTCGAAAAGCAATGAGAATTTCCAAGAAAGTTGATTCTGGTATATCGCTTGTGTCGAACATGGCATGCGCATTGTCAAATGGCATATTTTCGATCTCAGCCGGCACATCGTAGTCATTTGCAAGATGCTGCTCGCTTAACCAGGCAGCCGTGACTCCCAGCTTCACCCAGTCTAAGGATACAGAGCCGACGTAAACTCTGGAAGATCGGGCGAGAACGATTTCTTGCACGCACCAAACTCGCGTGAACCAAGGTCGAGACAGCAGCCACCCCAGCGCTTCCCAGTCTTCTGCCTTCGGCTCTGGTTTACTCAAACGCATCCCAGCCGCAGCAACATTCTCGATAGAGATCCCTGCGAGTCCTTCTAGCGCTTGTGTCGCCGGCGTAAAGTGAGCCATGGTCACAAGATCGATGTTCTTAGCTATTGCGTGATCTTCGCAAGCTTGATGAATCGTCTCGATCAAAGACATCGCACGGGGGGCCCGGCCTTCGTTGTCCAGGCCTAGCCATACCACTACCCTCTCAGCACGCGAGTAAATGTCTCTCATGAGTTGTACTTGGTCTGCTCTCTCGTCCATATCCTCTTGATTGATGCACAGAGCATCTGCCCATATCAACAACTCTCGGTCTGGATGCCGTAGGTGTTGCAGAGCATCGTGAAGGTTCTGGGTAATCGAGACAAGTTGTCCAGAGCAGTCGATCTGTCGCCGCTCTGATGGGTCTCCCCAGACATATGACAGCGCCTCGAACGTTGGGAGGTCATCGATACTTGCTTCCTGAAGTTCGATTTGAATAGGGCTAGTGTCCGGACCAGGCTGCAGAACCAAGATCCGGATGCACCGGCTGGCCAGCCGACTCGGATACATCCGAGCTATTATTGTAGTAGAGCTGGGGGGTCAAGGGAGGTGGCGTGTGTTGAAACATAAATGAAGGGAAGTATCTTGCTGACGCAACGGGATAAGAGCAATCCAGTCGAGAATATCATAAGTTTATGAAGGGCTAGTTAGTCGGTCTGTCAGCGCGTGCAGCTTTGTGCCCATTGGTTGCAGCTGAGCGGCAGGAAGATGCGTCATTTTCCGCGGAGCTCCTCGCCGCACCAACTCTGACTGTCTAAGAAACGACTTGTCAATCTACCGCATCAGCGAAAAGATCGACCAAGCACGCCATTCTATGTATCACTGCACGATTACACTGGATATTCTGCTAAGTAAACTTAGATTGCTTCATGCCAAATTTGTTTAAATAGCCTTGAGGGCTTCCGAGACCCTTCAAAGATCAAAAGAGTCGGCTACAGCGACAAGAAGCGGACTCCTGTGCTCCCGCCAGAACAAGATGAGATAGCAAGACCAATTGCCTTTCCTCGGGCCGAGAAGTTCTTTCATAACGGAAAGGCGCAACGTGATGCGTACTCTGAGATTGAGATGTACCAGGCGTGTTCGCGCATCATCCAGTTCCACTTAGATGCCATGGTTGCAATCCAAGTCCAAAGGCTGTAGTAACTGCACAAAGCTTGACGGCTCCGAGCAGATTGAAGATGTTAGTGATGACGAAGCTTCAACTTTCTCAAAAGTCGACTGCCTTGCTACTTTCCTCGTCAAAGTGGAAAAGTCAGAGCACGGTGACACCTTCATCATGATAGTGTGGCAAGGTACACGATTGAGTGAATGGCACCGCTGGAAATCTTGCGTAGATCGTAACGCACACCGCCAGCATGATCAGCTCTCAATCCTATAGTTTTGAGCATTCTCTCGGCGGTGAGATAGTTAGATTGACCTTATCCGCCCGTCACGACATGACTGCCACGCGATTAGGTAGTAACGTTATGGTATTCCCGAACAATACTCGCGGCCGCCAGGCCTGCTAAGGCACCTCAGCTCACACCATGACAGGCGATATCGTAATGATTCCGCTTCAACATTGCGACGATCTTCGGACGATGCCGAATGACACTGTCAACAACGTTCCTCTCTTGGAAGCCGTTCGTGAATTTCTCTCGGTACTCTACAGAGTTGATGCTGATGCTGCCTTAGCTTTGCGAGACCAGATAGACGGATTACCATCCAATCAACCCCCTTTTGCTTAATATGATCATATCAAACCTTACACCGAGTCTCAGCAAGATCTCCGTCACGCTATCAAGCCATATCGAACTTACCGTGTTGGACAACATCGGTCCCTGTCCTAAATGGAAGGAGGTAGTTATCAGGCCTCGCCAGTCAGGCCTCGTCGGTTAAGGGATAGCTTAGGGGGTATAAAAAAGGGGACTAAGTAATAAAAGAGTAGCTTAAGTATATATAGAGCGTTAATAATATACCTCGAGAGAAAGGTAGATTTTAATAATTTATTTTTTAAACCTTAATAATAATTAGTCCCTATAAACTTCTTTTTTATATTATATACTTATTAATAATTTAAAATCTCTATTTATAAAAAGGACTAGGCTAAAAGTTTAAAATATTAATAAGAACGAAACGTAATAAGAGAGCGTAATTAGCGCTATAATAATAAAAAAAAAACGATTTTTTTTTATTAAACCCCCTAGAATTACCTCTTTTTTAATAAATAGTATAAGAACGAAGTATAATAAGATAAATAATATAGTAATAATAAAAAAGGACCGTATTATTAAAAATATTAACGAATTTTAAATAAAATAATAAACCTCTTACCCTCCCTTACTAATACTTAAACTAAATAATAAGTAATAAGCTAATAGAATTATAAAAATAAAAATAATAATTAAAAAAAGAAATTTTTATTATAATATATAAAGAGCGCTTATATAAAAAACGAGCGAATTTAAAATATTTATAGAGCTTTTTAAATAGCCCGGCCCCCGTATTAAGAACTACGGTTTTAATTATAATAGCTTCGGACGTTAGTTTTAATATAAACGGGAATATAAACCCCCGGACTAAGGATAGTTTAATAAATAAAGCTATATTTAAAGCGCTACTTAAGTAATAATAAAATAATAAGTTTATACTACTTAAGCCCCTATTTACTAACTCTTTTTTAATTTAAATAAGTATTATAAATAGAACGTTTATATTTAAATTACTATCCCTTTTTAATTTATTATATATTAGTAAATTAGTATAGGATTTATAAAGCTTTTTTTTTAACTATTACTATTACTTTAATTTATAAGCTTAATAAATAAGAATAGACCGTAATAAAGTAGCGTATATAGTTAGTTACTTAAATAATAGCGTAAAGACCTTTTAAATATACTATATTTTTAATTAAAAAAGAACCCCCGAGTTTATAATAAATTAAGTTATATAAGAGGAACTAGAGACCTTTTTTTAAAATAACTTATCTAATCTTACTAATTAAAGAATAGTAGTAAATATATAATTAAATAGTACTTTATAAAGCTAAAAAAAGAAAGTTAATAAGTTCGTTAGTTATATTAATAAGCTCGAGATAGAATTAGAATATATCTTAATAAAAAAATAGAAGATCTCTATATTAATAAGTAAGCTATAGCCCGAACTATACTTTATAATAGTATTATAAATAGAACTTTTATAAACTTATTTATAATTA